TGGCACGAAGCCACACAAGCCTCGTCAGGAGCAGCACGTCGGCTTTGAGCCGAGCACGTCCCAGCGCTCCCCGTTCACGCCGGGAACGTTTCCCTTCACGCCTGAGAGCAAAGGGAGCAGTCCCTGGTGGCCCCAGCCCCGGCTGTACCTGGTTGGGATCCACGTCGTAGCCGTGCTTGGCTCCCAGCGTCCTGCCCACGGCCAGGTTGATCACGTAGCCCACGATGGCCAGCGAGAAAGCCGTGCCCACCATGTCCTTCCACCTGCTGACCGCGGGCAGGGCGGGCTCTGGGAAGCTGTGGAGGGGAGAAACTGTGATCCCTGTGACATCTGTGACATTGGTGACACCCCTGACACCGCTCCCCAGGGGTTTGGGGGGCGGCTGAGGGGCTGGAGGGTTCAGGAATGACATAACCCGTGCCCACGCCACGGAGGAACGGGGCGGTTGTGTAACAGGGCAGCGCTGCCTGGCGCTCCTGGAAGGGGGCTCGGTGCCAGCAGGGAAGAGTGAGGTGTTTTCCAGGCTGCCAGAGGAGGAGGAGGAGGAAGGAAAACTGTCTGGAGGGTGAGTCAGAGCTGCACAAGCGCTTACCCCATGCTGATCTTGCCCACTATTGGCATCCCGTACTTGTCGGGCATGTCAAAGCTGCCGGAGATGGCGGTGGCCACRATGACCTGGAAGGACGGGGAATAACGAGCTGTGAGCAGGAAGAGATGARCTGGATCAGGGCATTAATCCTGCCCTGACCCCAGAGAGCTGACAGACAAAATCAGCCCCAAATGTGGGCTGGGAAAATGGGAACAGTGCCAACAGGGGTTGTGTTCTTCACTCTCAGCATCATCAGGATGCAGGTTTGGGGTTGAGCGTCAGGACGGCCCCATTTCTGACCCCAAACGCTGTAGGGCTGTGCCATATCCACTGTGTGGGTGCTCTCCATGGTGGCCCTGCTGAGCTCAGGGCCCGAGGGACACCCCAGGTGTCACTTACGATGATGATCTCCATGGGGATGGGCAGCCGGATCTTCTTCATGTACTTGAGGTTGAGCTCCTTGACGATGATGAGGAGCACGGCGCTGACCAGGGCGTACACCAGGGAGGCCAGGTTGGTTTGGGGCAGCCCTTTACAAATGTCAATGAACGTCTGAGGGGCACAGAAAAGGAGAAAGGGTCATGGAGAGCTGGAGACTCTGGATAATGTGGACAGAACAATGGATAGACAGCATTTGTGACCAAAATCTAGGCTTGAGAAGGGCTAAAAACCCTCTGCTGAGGGAATGTGGGTATCCCTGGGGCTGTGCTGGGGTTAAATGCAGCTCTGGCTGCATMACAGAATCCCAGAATCAYCAGGGYTGGCAGAGCCCTCCAAGATCTTCCARTYCAACCCMTGCCCCRACMCCTCAMCCAACSCACAGCMCCCAKCCCCACATCCAATCTGTGTTTAACACACCCAGGGGTGGTGACTGCACCCCCTYCCCGKGCAGACCATCCCAGTGCTTTATCWYTYYTYCTGTAMAGAACAWTTTCCTGATATCCARCCTATATCAGCCCAGGATGCATCCATGGAAGAYGCAGGAATTCCCAGGAATGGGCAGACCCGCTCCTAGGAAAAGTTTCTGCTGCTAAAAACTCCTCAAGACTATCCTCCCCAGGGTATTCGATCCTCCCCAAATCCCAACCCCACTCCATTATTTCTCAATAAAACCATGCAGGTACCACTCAGATATTGCTGAAAAGGGAATAGAACAGCAGCCTGGCTGTGCTGGGGCAATGATTCCCCATCCCTCCCCGCTCTCCTCATCTCCTCGGCCCCTTTGCCCATCGTGGGGGTGACAGTGACCCCGTGGYGGGGCAGAAGTGGCCGTGCAGAGCCCCCACTTACGTAGACGATAGCTAAGGGCCCGGTGTAAGACGGGACCGTCAAGCCGAAGACGTACTTGAGCACGGAGATGAGGATCTGCAGCCCCGCCGCCGTCATGAAGCCCCTGATGAAGGACTCGGACAGGTAGATGGCCACGAAGCCGAACTGCAGGAAGCCCAGGCCCAGCTGAAATGGG